TTTTTTAATACAAAATAACTTTCTCTTCTTTTAAAGCATGTATCCTTCGAGACAATTTTACGATCGTGTATTTTAAATAAAAAATATTCGTTTGTATGTATCTGTGTTTATATAATGTATCCGTTTCAGGTGTTCGTGTATACACAACAAGCGTATCTACGTATCAAAGAACGATTGAAGACCCGTGGCGTAGCAGATCTATCGAATATCGAATTGAACAACTACTTTTCACCGTGGTACGCGGAACACATGGGTTCCATACAGGCAGCGAGCGGAAATCGCACCGTCGAGTCATGGGCGGTGGAACGGCTTCGAAACCAATATTACATTTTCTCATACGCCAGTTTGCTGAAATTACATGGTGATGCGATGTTGCTGAAGCAACTGGATAGTTTGTTGGGTAACGAGGCATTACTGCAACTACAGCTAAAGACACTGGCACCCATTTTTAAAGATCCTCAACGACGCGAATGGTTCCTTGAGGTTATTGATAATTACTTTAAGTTATGGGAGGTGAATATGTGAAGTAAAAAAATACGTCCTGAAAGGAGAAAATTGGTACACCTCCGTCATATTTACGTAAAATTACGTACCGAATCGTATTTGAACGTGGCGGACCATGATACACATATACGTATATTAGAAGAAAAAGATCGATGACTTCGACATGGAAAGATCATTTGATTGTCATAGAACGATTAGTGTTCGAACAGTCGTTAGTCACGGTCTGCTGAATGTTCACTATTGTTTCTCCGTCAAACGGACGTTAGAATTTAATAGAGAAACGCCCAACTACTATATTGTTATTAAATAAGTATTTATTAATATAATCGACGATAGAAAACATTTTTATACAAACGTTTTAAATATATATATATCATATAATATATATATGATATATATATATACATCACAAGCAATTTTCATAAAAATGACTGAAAAAAAACGCGATCCTGTTCCTATGTTTGTCGGTTTATTTTTGATATTGTTTTAATAATATCTGTCGCATTTTCGTTTAAGCTCTTCAGAAATATAGCGACAAATATAGAAATAGGATTCGTGGTTTTTTTCTTTTTTCTCGCTAATTTTCTTCTCGAGTGTGATCGAACTTCGATAAATCAATCTCAATATTTTTGAAAATAAATCTACATATTATATATTTTACAATATATTTTATCCTTACAAACATATGGACGTTATTTTTGCAGAGTTAAAATAAATTTATGTGAGTATTATTGAGTATAAAAGAACGGTTAGTTTTTGTTTTGTACGAATAAGAAAAAAGTTATATTATTGGCACGGTAAAACGATCGATGGAGTAAAATTTATAGGAAAAATCAGTTTATTTTATTTTTTTAAATATTAAAGGACTATATCTCTTACGCTAACTTATTTTTTCACTTTCCTTGTTATCATGAAATCATAACAATTAACATACTAAAAATACGAAACAAATTCAAAAAAAAAAAAAAAAAAACTTCAAAAATCAAGAAAACATTCAAATATATAATAATTTTTTAAATGAAAATTATTTGAAAATTAAGAAATACACGCAGATACATTATAAGAATCAATATTTTTATATGAAATCCGATTATATTATATTATATATAAAACATTCTGTAACTTTTAAATCAACTAAAGAAACTTGAAGAATGCATACTTATTAATTTTTATAAAATTTTAATACATCATATATAAAAATTTTTATTGCTTATCATGTAACACTCAAAAGTGCTTTTACAATATTCTACAAGATAGAATTATTTAAATGAATTATTTTTTATTATATATATAAAATTTCATAAAAATCCATTTGAATTCTTCAAGCTTCTCTATAAATCAATATATCGGAAATAAATTGAAAACATTTAAAATGTTTAGAACTTTCATCACTTCAAATTTACATATTTTCTATGGAAACGCGCAACAATTGTAAATAGATCAACCTATCTTCAGAAATATTGACTGTGGTAAGATTATTCAATTCTGTTAATGTATAATTATTACTTAGATTCAAAATTTAAATATCACATTGTCTATCCATTGATATTAATTTAAATTTGAGATGAAAAAAAAAAATCTTATTACTAATTACGTTTTACTAATTCAGAATGAATTTTTGTACATAAACCTTAATCGGTTTTTTTAAAGGTATGCAATTTTGCAGATGCTTCTTGTTCCCTACCTAATTTTCTTCCATTAACAACTAATATAATCGGAGTTTCGACGCGTATAGATTTGAAGTCAAAATCCTGAAAAAAAAACATACTTATATAATCATTAATTTTAGAACAAATATATATAACATTAAAATAATATTAACATTATTAAGATAAGAAAACTTTTGATGAATCACGAACGGTTCGGGTATAGCAACAGAATCTCCTACAGTAACACCACGACCTTTAGCAAGATTGTATACTGTTACAGCAATACATGTTTTCTCTTCATCAACAAGGCAAAAAGCGCTAAAATTCGACATGTATTTGTGAATCTTATTAATAAATTTCTTATTTGTTTAATTTTACATTAATATTGTTTAATATACAAAATTTACTTACAAAGGTACACAATCAGTGTCTTGTATCCAACATACTACTTTTCCAAATATAACTTTCTCTGGATTTAATCCTAAGACTAAATCTTTCAATAATATTAAATCTAATTTTACAGTCTTCTGGCCGGATGTGAAAGAGCCACCTTTGTATGGTCCCAAATGTTTAACATCCAATGCCTACATTTAATCAGAAACCTATAAATATGTATAGGTACCAGCATCATGTATTAAGTTTATAAAATAGTATAAAGTGAATCATCTTGAAATTACATTCCCATAAATAGAAAAAAAAGTATTGTCCAAAAAAAATTTAAATACCCTTATCATTTGATATAATCTCTTCGGTTTTACTCTCCCACTATTGTTTACTGAATTTTGTACATCTTTTAAATATTGTAGTAATTCATCTCTTTTATTACGTGGTGTTTCCCACAATGGATCTAATAGCATTGCCCTTTCAAAAGACTTTAATGCTAAACTATATTCTTCTTGATATTTTAAGGCCTAATGTATATTTTATTTAATTACATCAGGAATTAGGAATTAAAATTCATAAATTGTATTGAAAAAAAATAAAATGCTTACCACTGCCTTATTATGAAATAAATCAGGATTACTTCCTGCTACAATATCTTTTTCCTATAAACAATTTAAATGTTTATTACTAATTAACAATGAAAATTATTATAATATAAGACTTACTGCTTGTGCATAAGCTGACATGCAAAGTCGTAAAATTGCAGGATTTTGTGCTACTGTAAAAAAGGAAGACAAATAAGCATTTCCTAATATTGCCCAAGAAATTCCATCTGTTGTATCAAGGCTAACTGCTTCTTTAGCATGTTCTACACCTTTCTGTATATTTTGCATTCGTTGTTCAACATTAAGAACTGGTTCTTGCCTGAATACCATTGATAAATTTCTTAAGGATACTTTATTCTTACCCTATAATTTTTATTATATAATTATAAAAAATAGTAAGATATATAATAATTAGAAAAAAGGATCTTACATGGCGTAAAGCTCCAACAAAACAATTTTTTGCTTGTTGAATGTCATCATTTTTCCAATAACATTCTCCTAATTCATTCCATGCTTCTACTAAATTAGGTTCTAATTTCACTGCTTTTGTTAATAATTCTTCTGCTTGAGGTATAAAACGTTCTGTAACATTTAAGGCTTTTCCTTTTAGATAATAATATTTTGCTCTTGATCCATCAATTTCATACCCTTTACATTCATCAAATTTATTTAAAGTATCTTTCATCTCTTTTTCTAAATCATTATTCTTTTTAATAGCTTCTTCAATAGAATGATTTTCAAAATAGTGATCTCGAAAAAAAATATAATGCATTAACTTTTTCCTAAAATAACAGATAAAATAAATTTTATATAAATAGAAAATAAAAATAAAAGTAAATTTACAAATGAAATTATATTTTTCTGTATATATTAAAACTTATTGTTAAATAACAAGGAAATAAAGGAAGAAGGTAATTCACAATAATTCTCTATATCAATAAAAAAAGATATATAATTTTCTAAATTCTATTATTAAAACGGTATAAATACCGTCAATGCTACAATAGGATCTTCTTTAACAATATTTGCAGATTTTGCTCCTGCAACCACTTTATCATCTATAATTGCAGACATTTTTTTTTTTAAATACTTTTATAAGCAACTTATCACAATAAATTCATTATGCGTCAGATATAGATGATATTTTTAGTTCTATACATAATTTATAATTATATACATGCAAATTAACGTTTAAACAATGAAGTATAATCTATCATTCGAGAACTGTCAAAATGTTAATGTTTGCAGAATAATCGAAGAGGTTATGTGATAATTTTAATGCTAACTAGTATATATAAAGTACTATTCACAATAATGTTAAACGCAATCAATATTAAGTAATTTATATATTTTCAAAGAAAATAAAAATATTATTGCTTCGATTCTACAATTTTTCAATAATAATCATAATGAAAATAATTAAAATAATTGTTTTTAATTTATGACTTTTCATATGTTTATGGTAAGCTTCGTTCGCATGATTATTACAAATCCAATTTCTAATATAGTACCAAAATGTGCCGAGGATAGCGCTACTAGTATTCCTCCCACTGCCACCTGTCATGAGCATCAAACAGGGCAACTAGTAGAATCGCGTACTCTGTGACCGAAGCTTCCCCAGAAGGCTGCATCGTCTCAGGATCGCCATTTTATATGTTTGGCTCTGAGACTGGGACGGTGGGTGCGTGTGGTGCAAACTACAGAGCGTATTCCGTGTATTATCTGCAAGATGTTACCCAAATACTTTGCGCCCGACATGTACAAGTAACGACAGGTGTCGGAGTGTGTGATCGGGCAGCGAAGGCTCGGGCCGAAATGGTCCCGGAATAGTGAGCTGTGCGTGAGTGTGTTTTCATCGAGTAAGTGCGTCGCACACTGGCTTTTCACTGCTGTCACCATTTGTTAAATACCTGTGCCATTCGGGAAGTCGGCTTTGGGTCAAATTACGGACGGCCTCTGGATTCCTTGCGACACCCTCGCCATCATCTACGATGAGTTCGCGCAACATACCCTCAGACAAGGTGAGTCTTGTCACTTGCTCTAATATGTCTACCGCACCCTTCCTCTTTCTCCTTTATTCTTTGCATTCATACAATTTTCGGCTGCTGTTAGATATAAATCATGTAGTATCGTTTTACATATTCGTACTCTTATTCAGTAAGTTATGGTCATTGGACCGTCAATGTAAAATTAAAGTTCGATCAATGAGATGTCTTTTCGTGTCTACATGACTGCCACTTTTTCCGATTAAACAACGGATGTACACCCTCGCATTAACGATATTAATATCTCTTCTTTTTTCTGTCATTTGTTTGTTATCTCTATGTTATACGTACATATAATATTACACACCTTTTTTTTTTTTGATTTATGTTTAAGCGAAGCATACTAGCAAAATAATTCAGTATGAAACCAAATCTCGCGCGGTAACATATACAGTATTGCTGATCGATCGTAAATCGGTATTTACGTCATTGGTGATTATTGAAATTTACTTATTATTGTTATTCCTCTTGTATTTTTTATCGAATACTATCATAAATTTACACCTCTGGCTAATTAATGGACAAAGAGTTACCTTTGATCATATTCCATGTCATTCTAACGAGATCATAATTTCACCGGTTCTTTCTTCTCGCCAAGAGCTCACGCTGTAGAGCCGTTTCCCTTTCCCCTCTTCTCTCTGAAGTTCCCTTCCAAGCATTGTGAATTAATTGTATTGTGAAAGTCATGACGGTACGTTCTCCACGCTTTGTGAATTACACCTACTATCGTCTACTATAGAGAATCGTCGCGTATTTTTTTACAAAGTCGTCGCTACTCGTGAGAAGTGTCCTCTTAACTGAAGCCAACGAGGCTGTTTAATTGGCACCAATCGTATCACAGAGATGACCGAGTACCTATACTTTGTACGTTAATCGGTGTTCCTCTATCTCCTATTGATTCCTCTTCTTTAGTTTTTATTTCACGTCTCGATATGTATAAATTATTAAATTAACGATCGTATATATACATGGCAATATAATGACACAGAATATATGGTTGGTTGTGCGCGTGAGCAAGTACAAGCCGCGGGCTAAAGAATAGATCGACATACACTCAACCTATTCTGCTAAAAATAACATGCATTCAAAATTCAGCGGCATCGATGGAGTGTAAAATAGATGCAAATATTTGCGCGGCCCCTTTTCGCACGGATTATGCACGCTATTTCCAGCTATTTTCGTGTCCACCATAATCGCCCGATCCTTCTCCCCTGTTTGTAATTAATTGGCGATGTAGTGTATATTTGGTCATGTTCAATATAGGTGCGGTTTAGTGGAGGAACGAAAAAAACTGCATCATTATATGTAATGAAGTGAATTAGTCTATTTATTATGTTGAAATTAAAATTTAAAAGAAATTTTAAATGGCACATAGGTCAACTTAATTCTTGTTAGATGCAGTTTAGTATTTTGTATAAGTTATGATTTAATAAAGAATAATATTATGAATTTATTGATTTTATTTTTTTTATGTGATTGATTTAGAATAATCAATTTATTACAAATTGTATCATTTATCGATTTTTTATATTAATCCCGAATCTCTTATTACAAAAATATAATTTATTATAATATTGCATACAAAAATTATATTCTATAACGTATTATTCATCCTTCTTATTATTCACATATTGATCAAAATTTTTAATATAACAAGCACTTTTTTCTTCGAATTATTTATTTTTTTCAACATTTTTATTATTTTTATTTCTTTTAACAGAAGCAAGTATAAATTAATTTTTAATTTTAGCGTGATTTAAAACAGCCAAAAATTTTAATAATTTATTCATGTTTCGGTTTATAACAATTGTAAAAAAATTCGAGTACAATAAAATCAGTTTTGTTGAGTTTTCAAGAAATATTTTCCATGGAGAATTGCGATGCCGCGGAAGCTTAGTTTCGTTACAATTAATCGTACAAATTGGAATTCATGGCGAGCTATCATTCCGGCCTGGATACCAGAGAGAGCAGCAAACACGAGTCCTTTCACCCGCCATTTCGTCAAAGATACTCTATTACTTAATTATTTTACCAAGTGAATGACATTTTCTCGAAGGAAACATCAACATATTTGTTCTTGATCAAACATTATATGCAATATTATATAAAAATCAGAAGAGAAAAATAATACATTCATTTTTTTTAATTTTATAATTTTTATCTTATGTAGAGATTATGAGTAAACATTATATGATTATATTTTTACAATATCCGATAAGATAGAAAACAAAGCTCGTGTTTAATTACTAAAATAAACGTAAAATAAAATAGATTTTTTTTTTTAATTTTTCCACTCTAATTCGAATTAGACGACCGAGTTGGCACGCGTTCATTGTTAACACATTCGTTAATACTCTGTTAACTCGTTGTTTTGCTTTCCGTTCATGGTACGTGTACCACCGATGGTGCATGTCGTAAACGTCAAAAACTTAAAACATATGCGACCCACACGGCAGGGTACGCGTTAATAAATCATCGCTACGCTTGTCGGGTTTGATAATAACCGTTGTCTTCCTTCTCATTTCATTTTATTAAATTTTTTGGATATTGCATGTTTCTGGCTATCTCCTTGTTGTTTCTTTTGAACCAATTTGACTCGGAATAAAAATTTAATACATCAATCTTCAAACTTATTAAATACAAAATTTTAATAGTGTGTCGAATGTCGTAACATGTACTTATATAAAAATATATGTTATATCGAAATTTTGATGAAAATTGCTATTATTTATTAATTATGTTTATATATATTTTTTTATTCCAATTTCCATAGTTTCGAAAGATTTTCTAAACTTCTAATTTTGAAAAATAAAAATCATTCTTAATTATTTTCACTATTTTTACGAAAAATGATCAGTTTTTTCTTCAACTTTTTAATAGAACGAACGAATTCGATTTCAAAAACTTAAAATATCTACTAATCAATAACTTATTTATCTAACATCAAGAAGGAATTTACGTGTGAATAATACCATCGTAAATTCATTTTCAAATTCAACTATATTATCCCAAGTAATCTCGTATCATTATTATTAAAAAAAAAAAGAAAAAATACATATCCTCGGCTACTATTTGCCGTAGGCGGCAGCCATATTTGGAATCCCAGGAGTCTAGACATAATTGGTCAAAGCAGTGATGTAACGAACGAGGTATCCAAGGTTTTAACCTCAAACTGGCAAAAACCGGCCACTCGACTCAATTTTTTTCCCTCCGTTATTAAAATAATTTGCCTATCTCTCATATATAAAAGTTACATGCACATGAATTTACATCTTACGCTATTCTTAACCACACCACTTGGATATTCTTTCATTTTTCGCTGAATACGCTCATTCGATTCGCCTTTCGAAGCCGGGATACGTGATTTATCAAGCTAGCTGGAACGTCTCGTTGGCATCGAGTTCGAAAGGCTCGAAGAACGCGGTTCAGTCGGCGGTCGCGCCATTGTCATGTGGCTATCGAGCAAAGCACGGTCAAGGTCGATTAAAGAAAAGAACGAAATTGTATCTCCTTTTTTCGTAGGAGAAAAATAGAGAAAGGGAGAAAGAAAGAAGAAAAAAAGATCGGTTCGAGAAGCTATAACGCGAGAAAAATGTTTCTTCTAACTCGCACAATAAACTATGGCGAGTGGGGTTCCCCGTGGTACACGTATAAAGTTCTATATCGCTTTCTCCTCGCGGAAATACGAGAGTGGGCGGGGTAAGAGGGAAAAATATAGGAGGGAAAAATCGAGCTGTCCATCGTATGGAAAAAGACCGTCCAGCAAAACGGATCAAGGCGAATCAGCTTTTGTGAAACGTCTAAATCGATTTTCTGTGTCGGCCGCTTTTCTTCTCTGAACAGAAATGTGTGTCGACCGTGCTTGCGGGCTCGTTCCCTCTACGACGAGCTGACGATTCACTTCGTCCTTCTACTATAAGTCGAGGGCAAAGCTTTTCTGGATAAAGCGATTCGATGACGTTGTGAAGATGAAAGGTTGTCTCATTCTAGATGGTCGGTTGATAAATGTTTGAACTGCTTTGCGAGATAATATCTGTGATAAGAATGATTTCTTCTTGTTGATCATTGATTATGATCAGCGTTTTCAAATTAAGAATATAAATGATGAACGAAAATGTTTCAATTTTAATCTATATGCTACAAAGAGAATCTTATAAAAAGTTCTTTTTTTATGTCTCGCATAAAAGGAAAAATATAGAACGAATAGTTAAATCGAAATGTTAAGCGAAGTTCATGTAGTTTTTTTTTTTTTTTCCTTACTAGTATATATCTTGTAATGTAATTGAATTTAAAAGTTTAATGCAATGTATTAAATTCTGATCGATGTTTCGGAGATCAGTTCTACTTCCATACAAGGGAACAGAATCCAATTGAAAAAAATATATCTCGTAATTGGAATTCGATCTACACGATTACGCGTTCCTATAATTTCTGCAATTATAGAATATAACTACGTTTCTTTAAAAGATATATGTGATATGTATTTCATGTGCTGATTTCATAATTTTTGCCAACAAATATTTTTAATTATTCGAATTATTAAAGTAAAAGCATACAAATTTACAAGCATAAAATAATTCTTGTTTCTTATACGATTTAATGAATTCTTTTTGATCTAAATGCAACAAACATATTTAATAATTTTCCAAGTTCGATATTTTTTATTTATCGATCTTGTTTACGCCACATATTAAATGAAAAATTTAAGAATTATATATTTTTAAAAATGAAAATATTTAACATAGATAAAAAGGTATTTTAATATAGCGATAAAAGGTATTATTAAAAAGAAAAAGAAAAAAATAAAAATTCACGAGATATTCTGTTTTCATACTATTTTAAATTTTGTTCACTGAATGGAAGGTGATTCGGTGTATAGCTGTTGTTATTTTATAACGCAACAATTTCTGCAAATAAAAGAAATCAAAAACGAATGAAGGTTGAAATGCAATAAGTGAAGCGGAAAAAATCTCCGA